CCCGCCCCCCCCCCGCACCCACCCCCGTCCCGGCCCCACAGCCCAGCCAGACACCCCAGCAGCGGCTGCGGAGCCTCCACCAGAGCTCAAGAGCAACAGCTCCACAGCAGCCAAAGCACTGATCCAGCTTTGCCCCAGGGGAATGGTAAGTTCAATTCATTACTCCAGTCTTGTTTTTATTAGAGATTCTTGATTAATGGGCATGACTTTGTTTCCCAGTTAGAAATCAGGTGACAGTTCTGGTAAGGGAGATATAAACCTCTTGTCACCCTCAGGGAGCAGCTTTGGGAGCAGCCAACAGCCCCATGCTGGCCTTGGGGGGCAGCAAGGCACCCCCTGGGGGTTTGGGGCATGGGCTTTTCCGGGGGACCCCACTGGTGATTACCCCCCTGCTGCCCTCTCCTGGGTACAGGTTCAACTCTTTGGGGTGGGAAGCTCCCCTTGTCCCACCTCTCCAGGTCCCACATGCCAGCCCAGGTGTCTGTGCTGAAGTCCAGGGGCTGCAGGCAGAGCCCAGCAAAGTCATAGAGCCCTTGTGCAGGTTTGGATTTGTGCAGCCTCATGAGAACAGCACATTAGCACTTCATTTTATAAATACTCAGAACCCTTCCCCTCTGCAGCACCACCCCCCCACACACCCCCCAATATGTGTTCTCTACCGTATGTGGGATTTCATAGCTAATATATGAGTCCATATGTTGTGCTTTGTAGTTTCCATGGTATTATTGTCAGGATTTTGGGGGGTTGTAATTTTTCAGGGTTGTTGTGGGTTTTTTCTGTGGTCAGTTGTGCAATAAAATAGTTGATACAGAGACCTGGAGACATCTCTCTTGAGTTAGCCACTGGCAAACTCTGCTGTTTCTATAGAAATGAAGGAATTGACCCAGTGAATTTACATTTTAGACAGCTGTTTCTTTCAAATCTGTGCCACCTAATGTGCCACCAGGAACAACAGTGCAGAGCTCTCATTTGTGCACCTGGATCCACTGCAATTGCATCCATCTGTGATGGATATAGAGCATGTTCTCCCTCCATCCCTTTCCTTTGCTCAGGACTTTCCCCTTCTTCACTCCACGTGTTGGACACGCTCCCTGGTGCTGGCTGAAGTAAGACCAAGATCTGGATGTTCATCTCTGCTGGGTCCTTGCTGGCTTTATTGCTCTTCATTTCAACAGTGAAATCATGGGTCAAGGGTGAGCCCAGCTCCATACCTTGGTTAGGAGGACATTCCCTTTGCTTCTGGGCACTCCTGGCTCAATTCCCTGCTGTAAGGGAGCAGGGCTGTCCGTGGAGGACAGACAGCATGGGTGGGAAAGCTGGACAGACACCCAGCTTGGAAAAGCCAAGAGCCCTGAGATGAAAAGGAGACATCTCAGGTCTCCCTCAGCTGTTGGACACTTTGGGGTGGCTGCTGGCTGTTTTTCATGAGACTTCTGGAAACACCCTGGCTTTGGGAAACATTGAAATACCTTCATTTTTGGCAGGATGGGAAAGTTGTTTCCTACCCAGAATGAATCTGGCTCCAGTTTCAAACAGCAAGAGCCGAGAGAGGTGGTGATGGCCACTTCCAGCCCTGTCTGGCCATTTTTATTCCCCCTCTGGTTCTTGCACCTTAACTGGAGAGCAGAGCCTGGCTGGGAGGACTGGCTACCCCAAGGGACAGGCCAGGCAATCTTTTACCTTGAGGTCACTGCTTCCACCCCAGACCCAGGCTAGGAGAGACTGAAAGTATTTACCATCTGGGGCCTGGCCAAGTGACTTGTGAGAAAAGAATTCAGGGCTGCCATCCAGTTTCTGACACTCAGGCAACTACATCAGACAACCTAGGCTTCATCTGGGACCAAGTGACCCCTCCAAGCTCCCAGCCACCGTGGCGAGGCCAGGGAGGGAGCAAGCAACAGTGGGGCATTGCCCTCTCCTGAGGAGAAAGGCTCTTTCAGCTGGGAAGTGGTGCCTGGTGGTGGGGACACTTGATCCTTCACTATTTTCCAGGCATTTTTAAGTAGGTTTCATTAAAAAGAAGCACTGACAAATGGGACTTGGTGCTGGTTCTGGTTTCAAAGTCTGACATTGCTAAGAGGAAGGAGCTGAGCAATTACATGGGGAGCAAATGGACTGTCCCAACCTTGCCTAGCCAAAATCACAGCAAGATCTCATCATTCAGACTGAGGGGCTTCTCATTAGTACAGCCCAGCCTTGTATCAGCTGCTGTGAAAGGACAACACTTTTTCTTAATAGACATATCAAACCCTGGGCAGTAATCCTGTGTGATTTATTGATTTATTTTTTTCTTGCAGTCCAGACAAGAGCAATTCATAATTGTCCCCCTAAGTTAAACATTCAGATAACCCAAAGAATCAGACTTTTGTAAAACAAATCATGGAAACTTCAGCCAGATGAGTATTTCTGTTATTATTTGGAAAACAGTGTCAGAAATCATCACCTATCAAACATTATGATCCTCTGAGAGTTTATTTTTGGTATCAAACATCATCAAACATAAACTTATTTTAAAAAGAAGAAAGTCTCACTAGAAGTTTTGTCTTTCAGACGAGATACAAACCCCAGACCCTGACTTGGTTGGTGCTGACAGGCCCTTGGTATTTTCCATGGAGCTCCTGTTTCCTGATCAAATTGCTCATTCTTTTTTACTATCTCTGTTTTTCTTGTGGTTTCAGGCTCAAACAGACTGTGTTTTCCCTTCCTTTCTTGTCTTGCTGCAGTGTGCTGTGTGTTCTCAAGCAGCTGCCATGTCCCTTGCAGCACCACGCAGGCTGCAAATCGAGGCGTGCCCTGAGGCACAGCCAGGGAGGTTTTAGGTCTTGCCAAACTCACCTTTGAACTGCAGCCAGTCCTGCTTTGCAGCAGAGCTTGGGTGATGCCTGTGTTTCCTTCCAGCCCTACTTTCTGTGACCCTGGGAAGACCTTTGAGGATGGAAGTGCTGCACCCACTCAGCTCCCAGTGACGCGCCTGGGAAGCGGGTGGTGCTGGAAGAGGTTTGGGTGACACGTGTTGTCTGTTCCCAATGTCACGGCCCTTTGTGTCCCCAGGGCTGGCTCTGCCTTGCAATCAGCAAGAGCATTGCAAGCCAGAGCAGCTCAGGGTGCTGGTGGATGCAGGATGTTGGGACCATGTGCAGGTGATGGTGTTGGGGCAGGATGGTGCCAGGGAGGGAACAGCAACCTGGGGCAAAGATAACAAACACTCCTTGGCTCATATCTGCAGTGGATGCTCTGCACAGCTTCCATGCAGACCCCTGGCTGTTGCTGGGACCTTCCCAAAGACCTTGTGGAGCAGGCACTTCTTAGCATCGTTGCTTATTTGAAGGGCCAACCAGCTCAGACACTGGGCACAGGAGCAGGACTGAGCACCATGGGCTGGTGTGGGGAGACTGAAGAGCTGCCAGTTCACTTGTGCTACCCCAGGGCTTTGCTCACAGCCAGCACTTAAAAAGCCCAAATGACCAGCCACCAGCCAAAACCAGCTGTCAAGGGCACATGTTGCTACTTCCCAAGGCTCACACCAAAGGCTTTGAGGGAGAGTCCTTCTTCCTTCCTCCACCCTAAGGAATACAGCAAGGGCTGAGCTTGCTCTCCATCTCCTGAGCAAGACCAGAAAAGCTGAGGCCAGTGACACAGAGGGGTCCTAGCCCTCCAGACCGTCCCTA